TGTGTGTGTTGCTGGAAATTGAACCCAGGGCATTGTGCATGCAAGGCAAGCACTTTTCTACCAACTGAGCTATGTCCCCTGCCCTTAAGTTTTTTATCAATGAAGAATCTAGCCATAACTCCTTCCTGAGATGAGTGAATTAGGGAAATTTATAATATCTACTATAAAGAAATAAGTTCACCTTACCTATTATGTTTTTTTCAGAGTCAGCAGTTGCCTCCTTATTTCAGTGTCATTAGATTTAATGGCATTGTATTTATACTATTTATATAATGAACATTTGCCACCTAGGCCTTGGGAAGCCTTTATTTTCTTTTCCTTTAGTTTAGTTTTTCATGTAGCAAGTTCTTACTTGAATGCCTGTTAGGTTAGGCTCTGTGCTAGAGCAAGCAAAAATATCTGGTCTTGATTTTATTGTAGTTTAAATAATTTCATTTTTCCAAGGTAGTGTCTTAAAATGTTGTACCTGTTCTCCTAGAGTGGTCATGTTCTCTTCATTTGTCTTAAAAAAATTTATTTGTCCCTAAAAATGTTCTAGCCTTCTTAATTTTCATTTGAATGAGATTGATCATTTTTTCTTGTTCTCTTTGTTTAGCTCTTCTTTCCTTAAAATTGGTATATTATCATCACTAATTTTGTTCAGAAATGGGATGATTTTAAACACATTGCCTTATGAACATTTTTATCACTTCATTCATGAACTGATTCAGATAAAAGTAGTAAACATGAACCATTCCTCACTAATCCAACTTTTAAATTCTTATTGTATGATATATGTTTAGTGCATGATTTTGAGTTATCTGTGCAGTGTTCCCAACCACTCAGTTTTGCTTCATTAATGGTAATTATTTCATGAATAAGCTTTGGTATAATGTATATATTTTCATGTTTTTATTGTAAATAAAATAGTCATTTTGATGCATGTATATTTAAATGAAATTATTTAAAAAAGAGAGAGAAAGCATTTGCCTACATAAAAAGTCAAGAGAATTGGCTAAGAAACTACTGGGATTGATAAAATTTTATTTAGTAAGATGGTCTCTTGCCAGATAAACACTAAAAAATGCAATTTTCTTATATTAGTGTTCAGTTAGAAAATGTAATTTAAAATAATCAGTTTAACAGTGGTAGCCAGCATAATAGTACAGAAGGGAATAATTTAGGATGTGTTCCCCAAACTCAATACTAAGCGAATTTGATTGGACTTTTTCAGTTTTCACTCTATATTTATGTATTGTTTGAACATTTATAGTGAGTATATCTGTGTTTGTTTATAAATGCTTGCAAATATTATGTGTGTAATCATAAAATAGTATATTTTAGAAAAATGGTTTCCAGTCTATGCTGTTGTTTTTTAGGGTGCCCAGGAACGTATAGACAGTTTGCGACGAACTGGAGTGATCCATGAAAAGCAGACTGCTGTGTCTATAGAACACTTCATTGCAGAATTGCTGCCTGACAAGTAAGAGACTTATTTCTCTTAGAAGCAAAATAAAGTTGGGTCTGGGAGTTCATACGGAATGCCAAGCAAAAAGTATTATCTCCTATTGTAGAATCAGAAGGAAAAGTGTGTTCTGATGCTGGCTCCATCCCTTACCCAGCTGTGTCCTGTGTAGCTTAGCTGAAACTTCTATCTTTGCTTCTGTTTTTTTTTCAATTATAAACAGAGATAATAACGCCTACTTTCTAAGATTGTGCTGATGATTGCTAGATAGTACTAAATATAAGATGATACAGTGTTGGTTATAATGACCTTGGGTAGAAAACACAGTCCTTCAACATGATGAATTCAAAATAATGGAAGGCACAAGCAAGACCGCTTGATGGCAGTCACTGAGTTTGAGTCTCTACTGAGTGAACTCTCTCATGTATTTAGTTTAGAAAACTTCCAAATAGCATAATTGATCATTGTTTTTGAGGGCTCTTTTTTTCCCCCAATGGGAAAACCTTTGTGGATATGCTAAGTTACATTTTGTTGTAATAACTACCCTTTGTTAAAAAATCTTTCTTTTTAATTGCATTGTGGTTTTGTTAATTTTTTTTTTTTGGTATGTTTGGTATAGAATAACAATGTGCCTAGTACTTTGTGGCTAATATGGAAAAAAGAAAAAAAATGAAAACTCCTCTGATTTTGAGGGCATATTAGATAGCCAGTTGAGAGAAGAGTTATGTACAAGTGAACTGCTTTATATGATTATATAAAAATTATCTAATTTTTACTAATATAATATTATATGAAGTTTCAGTGGAGGTAACTCAGTATGGAAGTAATGTCACATGAAATTCAGGAATGGTTAAGACTGGAACTGGAATTTGAAAAGGAGGTAAAATTTGGATAAGTAGAAAGAAGTAGGTAGGACATTCTGGGTGGAGGAAATGTTTGAAGGTAATTAAAAGGTATTCTAGGGTTAGCAGAGGTTTCTTGAATAGGATATCAAGAAGTGGGGACAGTTTGTGAAGAGCTTTGCATTCTAGGTTGAAAAGTTTGAACTTTGTGAGCACAATGATGATTATTTTGTTTTCCCTCTCTAGTAACCTTTTACTATTTATTTAATGATTACCTCAGAAATTACAGTGTGCCTTTTTGGTGTATTACATTATAATAAAAGCTATGATAATCCTAGAATCACTTTTAAAGCTGTTCATCTCTTTTTTTTTTTTTTTACTTTTTGCAGTATTCTTGTCAAGTATCTTAATTCTGCATATGTTTTAAACTCCTAAGACATCACTAGTATTGTTCTGTGCAGTCAGTATTCATTTATTATGATTCTGAAGTTCTTCCTACATTTTTGTTTTTCTGTCAGTAATCTTCCCTCTGCCTAAAGAAATTCCTTTGATACTACATTATAATATAGGATTACTCACTGTGAATTTTCTTCGCTTTTACTTACTTGAAATTGCTTTAATTCATCTTAATTTTTGTTGGATGTAGAAATCTAGGTTGGTAATTCTTTCAACACTTTCAATTAAGAAGTCAGCCATGGTGGGCACGGTGGCACATGACTATAATCCCAGCAGCTCAGGAGGCTGAGACAGGAGGATCGTGAATTCAAAGGCAGCCTCAGCCTCAGCAGTGGCGAGGTGTTAAACAACTCAGTGAGACCCTGTCTCTAAATAAAATACAAAATAGGGCTGGGGATGTGGCTCAGTGGTTAAGTGCCCCTTAGTTCAATTCCTGATACCAAAAAAAAAAAAAAAAAGAAGTCAGCCATCATCATATTATTTCATTTGTGTAAAGATAATTTGTTGTTTGTTCTGGCTGCTTTTAGGACATTGTCATTTTGTTTTTGCAGTTTTTCTGTGGTATGCCTAGGTATGTTTGTCTTGTTCGCTGGCCTCCTTTTATAATTCTTTTTTCTGGGGGAACAGGGAGCTTACTAAGCTTATTGATTCTGTAGATTGATGTCCTTCATCAGTTTGGGATTCTAAATCACTCTTTAAGACTTGCTGCTTTGTCTAGGACTCAGATTACAACTTGTTCACCTTTTGACAGAGTCACACACTTTCCACATTGTCAGGTTTTTATTCCAAACTCTGCTTTTTCTATTTCCTCATTAATTTCTTCCTTCTCTAGTCCACTGATCCTGCCTTCTGTGTCCAGCCTGTTGGGCAGCTCATATGTTAAATTCTTTTTTAAAAAATAAATGTATTTGCTGAGTATCTACATATATTCATCTCTTTTGACTATCTTTCTTCTTTGTTCAGTTATTTTGCATCAGTTATTTTTAACTCCTTGTCTGTGAGTCCTAATATTTGGGACTTTAGTCTCCTTTTCCTTCTAGTCTGTCCCTGAATATGGTGCTGTCCCTGAAGGCCTACTAATCTTCAAAAACCAGATGTTGTTTAGAAAACACTCCAGAGTCCTCAGGTGATGTTGAGAAGTACACACCTTTCTCCTATAAGCAGAGCTGTATGAGGAAGCTGGCAGTGTGTGTTTTAGTCACAGTCTCAGCTTTGTCAGCTTAAGGCTTTAAGCTGGGGAAGGAAGGTTTTTGTCCTCGTGTTTTGTCCTTATTTCTGCAGCTCTTCAGTTTTTCTCAGTATATGATGTAACTCATGTAGCTTTTCACCAGGAGCACTGACCTGCCATAAATTCCTCCATCACACCTTAATGTGGTATTTCCCCCCTCAAATACCTTTTAAGCAAAACAGTAGAATACTACAAAGACCAAGAATGCTAAATACTAAATAATATCAAGAATTCTGGTGATGGTTGCTAGTATGGATTAAGGAGGAAAGAGGACAGAGGGTTTGTGACAGTAAAGTACACAGAGTGCTGAGAGAGGGAAGAGAAGACAACAGAGTAAAAGCTAGAATCCCCAACACTTGATCTTTCATACTGTGGCTACTTTCAGAGTTCCTGGAAATAAATGCACAGAAAATAAATTCAAGAAAATGCATGCTTAGAACTGAGTCTAGAAAAGACAAATTCAGGAAAAGCAAGGCAGTTAAAGAAGAAATACAAGGTGTTTGGCCCCTAAAAAGGAATAGAGCTTGTTTAGGACGGGGAGAGAAACTGAAAGTTTCCTTAGAAAGAAGCACTGGGAACAGAAGTGGAGGAGTTGTGGGGAGGGATAATGGTGATTGCAGTTTCATGTTGACTGATTTGAAGAGAAGGGGGAAGCCAATCTCTAGCATGGTAGTATTTTAAAGAATAAGGGACCCTGAAGTTCTGATGTGCATTCACTTGCATGACAAGAGAAATTCTATTATGCTTCAGTGACTCTGCTTCTCATGCTTAACAGTTTAGTCAGTATACTATTCATGATAGACATTACTGTACACAAATCATGCAAAATAATGCAAAATAAAATTCAGCTAAGCTTGGCTTTGTGGATATTTCATAAATACATTTTCTTGAGTGAGAAAAATTATTGTAACAAAATATGAAATATTGATTAGTATACCATATAAAATAAGTCACTATTTAGTTATTTATTTAGGCACTGGGGATTGAACCCAGGGGTGTTCAACCACTGAGCCACATCCCCAGTCCTTTTTTATATATTTTTGGGGATAGGGTCTTGCTAAGTTTCTTAGGACCTTGCTAAATTGCTGAGGTTGGCTTTGAACTTGGAATCCTCCTGCCTCAGCCTCCAGAGTCACTGGGATTACAGGTGTATGCCACTATGCCTGGCCCTTTGTAGTTTTTATTTTGAGACAGAGTCTCATCCAGTTGATCCTGGAACTTGCCATCCCAAGTAGCTGAGATTAGAGGAGTGATCTACCATGCCAAACTAGTGGGTTAACCTTTTATGGAATTACATTTTAGGATAAATTAGATGATTGAAAAATTTTATTTATGGATATTAGAACATTATAAAATATTTGTAATAGTGTTCTCAATTTGTAGCAGTTTTAGGATATGAATACTATAGGCATTACAGATTGCTATTTTAATATTCAGCGGAGTTGCTTATATTACTCCATATTTTACTTGTTTTTTTTCCCTGAATATATAAATAGTCTCCTGACACACTGCACTTTATTAGATGTGCATATTTTTAAGAATAGAGATTATTTTCCTGCTCCTATGCTTTTGTTGTTTAAATTCATGATTTCACGATGTCTGGTTGTTTCATAATTCATGTAATAGAGATTCTGGTGTTGCTGTAATTGTCTTAACAACTCAGTATTAGAAACTTTAGGTGATAACTTGAAACTCGTGCTTTTTTATAAGTATTTTTTAATAGACTTTATTTATTTATTTATTTAGTTAGTTGTTGATGGGCCTTTATTATTTTTATATGTGGTGCTGAGGATGGAACCCCATGCCTCACACATGCCAGGCAAGTGCTCTACTGCTGAGCTGTAACTCCAGCCCCTATAAGTATCTTTCCCTCTGGAGGAACTTTTTAAAAATTGCTAATGACTTTACTAATGGTTGAATATTAATGAAATTGGTAATATATTAACTTTCTCATGTTGAGCCTAGTAATATTTTTAAAAATATCACTCATGAGAAGCTGTTATACTCATGTTTGAATGAATATAAGTTTATCTGTTGCATATTTAAGCTCCCAGTTTCCATTGTTTCCCTGTCTTAGCAAGGGGACCTTTAAACTTTTCCTTTGCTGTTGTTCTAGATTGTTTTTCTCTTCTTGGAATTTAGCCAGCCAAGAAATTTTTTATGTTGTTTTTATGGATTGTCTTCTTACAGGTTAATTTTTCTTTTAATTAGTTTGTTTTTCCTTTTTGTTTGTTCACTGTAACGTATTTAGCAGGTAATCAGTATGAAACTCATGTTCTGTTGCAGGTGGTTTGACATTGGTTGTTTGATAGTTGAAGACCCTGTCCATGGCATTCACCTAGAAGCTTTCACACAAGCCACACCGGTGCCTTTGGAATTTGTACAACAGGTTGGTTTTCTTGGCTTTTTCATTATGCTCCAGAGAAACTTGCAATATTATCCTTCAAATTTTAAATTTATTTTTTGTTTAAAATGTTTTAATTTTGTTTGTTTTATTTCTCTTGTAGTCTGTTTCTTTGTGCAGATCTCTGGTCATTCCATGTCTTACTATTTCCCTGTTTTTGTTTTCTACCTGTTTTTGAGAGGTATACATTCAATGGCCAATTGTCATTTGCTTCTTTTTTTTTTTTTTATGATTATGTTTCTTACTCTGAGATCAGAATGTTTGCTTTTCTGCTTATGTCCACATTTCATTTACTTTCCTCTTTATTTCACATCTTTACTTTCACTGTTATCTCTATTTCCTTTTTCTTTCATCTGATCTTCCTTTCTAGTTACTCATCTTTAGTAACAAGTCAGTATTAGAAACTTTAGGTGACAGGTATGTCTTTAAGGTTGTTGACTGAAAATAGATTTAACCATGTACCTGTCTGTGTAGTTTCCATAAGATTGTAAGCATAAGTAATGATCCTTCTATATTTTTGTATAAATTTTTTCTAATTCTCTAATGGACAAAATGGAACATATATCTATACTGAAATTTCTGTACTGTTAAATGGCATTTAGACTTTTTTCCCCTCTTACAATTATTTGGCACATGTCGGCATTTGAGAATCTGAAACTATTGGCATTTGAAATTACTGGGTTTTCTCCCAAGAATATGCTTGTACACAGTTACATATTAATTTGGCATGTGAGTTTATCAAATTGCTAAAAGCAATCACTGGCCTTTTATAGGTTTATGGTTTCGAAAAGGGACCAAGAATTAATGCTTGGAATTTTGAAATTTTGCTGAAACTTATTTATACCATAATTTCTTTTCAGAGGATTAAGAAAACCATTTTATAGATGTTAACTAAATTCACTCCAATGAGAAGGTGATTAAAATATTGTAAATGAATAATAGATTACTGTTGTTCCATTAACTTTTAAAAATTAAATAAAATGATAGATTTTTCTAGAAAAATATAAATTTTACTTGTTACTTCAAGAGTATTAGGTTGAACCATACAAAGTTGCTGTCATTCATAGTCAAAAGCAGTCAAATGTTGTCACTTCCATATGATTCAACCTAATTACCTCAGCGAAGCAGTATAGTGAAAGAATTCCATCTAATCAGAAACCCCCCTACAGAATATTCACAGGTGATGCTCGTGGTGATAGAGCATCTCTCTTAACGCCATAGAAAATTTTAGTCCTATCACTTAAGAATTAAAGGTCAGAATTATTGGTAAAATTAATAAATAAAATTTAGAAATACATTAGAAGAACATATACCCTGACCATAAAGAATTGATTCCAAGAGTCAAAGAACCATTTGCCAATAGCAAATTAGTTTAGTAGTTCAACATATGAACAGAGTAAAGAATAAAAAGGATTTCAGTAGAATTGAAGGTATTTGCTAGAAATATTAACTGTACTATTAAATAGCCTTTGTTAATTAAGATTAGAAGGATATAAGTGTACCAGAAAATCAAAGTACACTTCAGGTCTAATGATAAACCATAGAAACCTGATAATTACAAGGATGTTCCTATCACAGCCATTGTTAACGTTGCTGTAGATCGAGGTCAACACACAGTGGCCCACAGTCAAATCTGGCCTGCTCCCTGTTTTTGTGAGTGAGTTTTATTGGAACACACCCTGCAGTCTGCTTACATGTTGTTTATAGCTGCATTTGTACTGCAACAGCAGAATTGAGTAGTTGTAATAAAGACTTTTTGGTTCCCAAACCTAAAATATTTACTCTCGGGCTCTTTCTAGAAAAAGTTTGCTGACCCCTGTGATAGATGTCTGACTATTTTAAAAAGACAATTTTTGTTTCACTTTTAGGATTATAGATTGGAAAAAAATAGACATGATACTCAAAGAACAAAGTGGACCTACATATACTAGTATCTAAAGATACCTATGACATATTGCTAAGTAAATGTCAAAGCCAACACAGCTAGTATGATCCTACCTATTAACAGGTACATATATACCCTTTAAAGTATATATAAATGAATAGAGGGAAAAGGCGTGGAAAGGTGCACAGCAGGCTGTTAATGTGGTTAACTGAAGAGTGATATTCAAAGGGTGGCATTTACTTTTCATTCTATTGTCTTTTTTTTTTTGCCACATGGTTTTAACATTCAGAAGATACAGTAGTGTGTGCGTTGAAATGCCTTCCTTTTATTTCTAGCTATTCAACTCTTTATATTTCTTTTTATCCATCCCGCAATATGTTAAGTTTGTGCTACTGAATTATTGGAATTTTTTAATTTAAGGGAATAGAAATCAGCCTTTAAAGGAATAACTGTTACCATCAATAGATATAGTAGTGAAAATGTGGAAAAAGTTTTATGTAATTTATGCTTGATAAACTTAAATGCGAACGATTCTTCCTTCTCCCACTTTACAAGCCTGCTATTCTGGATTTTTGCAGATAATATCAAATACATTGTTCCTCAGAAGTGTGATCCTTGGCCTAACATCTTAAATATTGCCTGCGAACTTGATAAAAATGTTGCCTCTCAGGCCCTACCCAGAGCTACTAAATAAGGATATGCATTTTAACAAGAACTTCTTGGGATTTATGTTCATATAGCAATTTGAGAGGCACAGTTTTCTAGTGTCTCTAGAGACCTTAATCATTTTTCTGCCATGTCTCTTTCATATAGTCAGATACTGACAGTGCAATATATATTTTGGAAAACAACACTGGAGCAGGTTTTTCAGATGGTGTGCTGTTTCTGTCAAATTTACTTGAAAGCTGTTTTATATTTGTTTTGTTTCTCCTGGAACCAGCTATGGAGTTTCCAATTAGATTTCTTAGTTAGGGTGTGAGAAACTAAGGTTTTTTTGGTGGAGGGAAGCCCCTCAGATAGTAATACCCACCACATTTGGGGATCACTGTACAGTAGATCCATTCTACGTATGGATGACCTCCTCTGACCACATCTAATGAAAAACCACACCATTTCTGGCTTTTGAGTGGAAGCAGATATAGCTAGGTTGGGCCAGCTACAAATGATATAATAATGATTGTTGCTGTCCTGGACTGGACATTACTTGACATGCTAATCATGTTTCTGGGGATACTTTCTACAGACTAATCATGCAGTTTTGAAGCCTTTATTATTGCAGTTTCCTTTTTTTCTGGTTGCAATTTTATGGTTATAGAATGATAACTTTAGCAAAGATAATAATCTAGTGACACTGAATATGGAACTAGAATTTAAGTCGTCTGACTCTGAGCTCTGTATAGGTGCAGCTCTGAGATTTAAGACTTAGACATGCTCAAGGCCCTAGGTTCAACTCCCAGCACCACACACACACACGCGCACATGCACGCATACACACACACACACACACACACACACAAGATTATATTTGAGCAACAACCAAAGAGCATAATGGTGTTATTTTTTAACAAAGTAGATATGTGCTGTATTATTTTGATTCTTTCATGGCCTTGTAACTTCATACCATTGCCTGTATAACTGTGTTTCAGGATTTGTCATAATCTATATTAAAAGTAACCTGAGAGATGTTACTTTGAGATGTTACATATCGAATTCCAACATTTTAATGCATTATAAGTAATATGGATTTTGTTTCTCTGTAGGCTCAAAGCTTAACTCCCCAGGACTATAATCTGAGGTGGTCAGGCCTTTTGGTGACAGTGGGCGAAGTTCTGGAAAAGAGTTTACTGAATGTCAGCCGGACTGATTGGCACATGGCTTTTACTGGCATGTCTCGTCGACAGATGATCTACAGTGCTGCCAAAGCAATTGCAGGCATGTATAAACAGCGCCTGCCCCTTAGGACCATGTGAGGGAAGACCTGTCTAGGATACTGAGACTTTCTTCACTTTTAGCTTGATGTCGTTATACCTTCTTGAATAGCTTCAATGAATTTAACAGTTTTGTAATTTTCCTGTAGGCTGTAATTTTTTTTTCTAGAGAGGCATGTTATCATTCCAATAGAAGAAAAGAAATAGATCCTTTTTATAATCATATAATTATACATATAGTTCTCAGAAAAAAATATACAAAAATATTTATAGCACAGTTTAATATACCAAATTCATATAGTGGAAATTCATGTGCAAAGACATTTAATTTAAAGATGTGTACTTGATTGTTTTGTTTTTAAAGAAGACATAGTTAATTAAGGAACATGTCTATTGAATATTCTTTAAAAACATTGTTCTTTTTGTTTTTTTGTATGTGCACATGGCCTCAGGTCTGATGGAGAGCAGCTTGCTCAACAATTTACCTTAGGACACCTACTTGTATTTAGAGAGATGTCACACATTTTTATGCATGTTTTATACAAAGTGGGCCAAATACAGAATTGATCATTTCTATCTAGTCATCATGTACACATACAATCTGGAAAGTCATCCTTGTTTCCTTTTTTTTAAAAAACTAATTTTTGGCATTTTATAGATTTATACTATGAACATTGGGTAATACATTTTATTTTTTCATTGCTATATGACAACTAAAGGGCAAATAATTTGAGTATATTTTAGATCAGAGTATTCATATTATTTTTGTATAATACTGTTCAGTACTTCCAAGAATAAATTCTGACAGTGGCCATTTTATGTGCTTCCACCCATTCTCCAAACTTTTACAAAAGACATTTTTGAGAGGTGATTACTTTATTGCCTATGAGAGGGTATGCCTCAGGTTTTAAGTATGGTTGCTTCTTCTTTCATTTGCCTTAAGCACAACTTTTCTAACTGCCATTCTGCCTTTATTTTTTATGGAAATTTTCAAATAAACTATTTTATATTCAGTCTGGTTTATTTAGTTCGTTATGTTTGTATTTAATGAAAGCTTTTTCCCCCCTCAAGTAATATATTTTACAGTTGGGATTTATATAAATAAAAATTAAGTAAATGTTTTTTCTTGTACAGTTGAACTCTATGCAACTTCAAATAACTTTGATAATAGTTTCACATATAAACGTAATTTTATTTACTCTTCTATACTGTTATTTTGATGTAAAAGAATTAGCACAATCTGGCAGTTTTATAAAGGGTGATGAAGGTTGTATCCTGCACTGTCTTCATATGTAAGGTTTGCTTTGTATTAATGTCATTTAAAGTAATTATTTCATTTTTCCCCCTTTTTTTACTTGAGAGTGAGAAGAATTAAGTATTCATTTTGAAACTATAATGTATGTTCATTTCTGAGCACCATAAAGTGAAATTCCAACTTTTATATCATTCAGAGTAATGAGAAACAGAAACAAGACATAACAAGTTGCTGTGGTGCACTTTTGTTTGGGGTAATAGGATCAAAATACATTTTTCTCTCTTTGTGAGTGAAAAGAGAAGCCTTTTATACTATTTTCCTCGCTCCTTTAAGTCCATCCTTCTCTAACAGTATTTTATCAGGGCTTTGGCCCCATGACACAAACAGTCTACTATAGACTGAAGACAAGTATGCCCAAACTTAAAATATTTCTGCTACTTTCCCTCCTACTATAGGGAAATTTTATAGAGCCTAAAAATCTGAGTTTTTCTTTCCATTTTGTTTTCCCAAGTCTGAAACATCTTATTTGATATCATTGAGGATTGTTCTGATAGAATCACAAACATTGCCATTTCCTGGAATCCTCAAATTTCTGGGGCAGAGCTGCTCCACGGCTAGGTTGGAGCTTGATAGCGTTCCTGTACCTAGTTATTGGTGAGTCTTCTGCTGCTTTCTGAACAGTAGGAGTGGGAGAGGTGGAGGAGAGAAGGGCAGATAGAAGAGAGAAATACATGCTTTCGTCTGGCCTCCGTTTCCTTGGCCCAGTTCTCTGAAAGGCAATAGAGCATGGCTGACTCCACATTCTCAGCTTTCCCAACCTCCTGGAATTTCCCTTTTACATTATGATCAAGGAAAGTAACTTGCTCTCTCCTGGCAGCTTAGCCAGACAGTCTTGCTGTGATCATCAATCTTAAGGCCAGAGCCTCCATCTCCTCTGTGCCTTTTCTTCTTGTCCATTTCCTTAATAACTCCACAAGAACATTTTTGGAATTTGTGAGTAGATAGCTATTTGCTTTTTTTCTTTCCCAAGCTTTTAGGAAAACCTGTCTTTAACACAGTTTGTTATCATTATTGTGGTTGCTTGAAATTTTTTTTCTTCTGAAGAACCCCAGATTATTGAGTTTCATGTTTTATGTATTTTAATCCAAGTTGTTGAATTCTATAAGCTTGTACACTTATTTAAATTGGTGCGAGAAAAATAGGAAAAATGCTGAAGATTAATTCAACATCAACCTCAGATTATTGCTCAGTTCCAGGTTTCTCCTTGTATTGTTTTTTTTATTGTATTGGATTTTTTTTCTTGTTTGTTTTTTGTTGTACTAGGGGGTAGAATCCAGTACCTCAAGAACACTATGGGAGCCCTCTACCACTGGGCTGTAACCCCACGCCCCTATTGAGTTTTTGAGACACCCATGGACCTGGCTATGCCATGTACTTCTTAAGTTGGAAAGGCCTTGGGTGATGCTGGTAGTTTCATCTTCTGATTCTTTGTTATTATTGCTTTTTCATTCTTTGTTCCTCAGTCTTTTGAGGATTAATGAAGTAGAAAATTAGGATGTAAAAAGGCAAAAAGATAGTATGGTAGTAAGTGTGAGTACATTTAAGAGTATAAATGAAACTGTATAATGTATATCTATTCGAATTATGCAATTAGCAATTACTCAGGGTCGACTAAATTAACATGCTGTTGAATTTATTCTGTTCCTTGGCTGGAAAAAAAATTCAAAATAGGACTTTGTGACTTATGAAGCCAAATTGATAACATTCTATGTTTAAAAGTTGTTGGGTTAAACATAAATTATGTGGATTTTTACTTCTGGGACATGGTGTTCTTTTTGTGATATTATGCAGAATCATGTGTTACATAAAATCAGTTTTGTAAGTATGTACATATTACATAAATAAATACTTATTTCTCAAAGGTGTATAGTGATTTTTTAAATACTAACTTATATTGATACTACATTAGATATTACTTTTTTATCTGAAGTGATTACTGATTGTCAAGAGTTCTTACAGAACAGCAACTTCAAACACCATCTTTCTGGTGGAACTGTCGCATTCAAATACACCACAGTTGGTAGGGTCAGGGTTAGAGAAAGAGCTATTAGGAGAGATATACATGAGAAATAAAGGTAATAGGCAAGAAGTTAAGGCTTGTGCTTCTCTGGAAACCTTTTTAGTACTGGGTTTAATTTATCCTTGACCTCCAGAAGTGTTTTTAAATAATTTTATAATATTAATTTTAGGTTCATGAAAAATTAATTGAGAAAGGTACAGGGATTTCCCATATGCCCCTGTCTCACAAATGCATAGCCTCATCCATTATCAAGGTTTCCCACCAAAGTGGTTCATTTGTTGCAATCAAGAATCTCATTGATGCATCATAATCATCCCAATGTATGGGGTGATTTCATTAGATCACATTACATGGTGTTTTGGTGTTGTGCGTACTGTTTGGATAAAAGAAACGTGGATCCATTATTATAATCTCATAGAGTGATTTCATTCCTAAAACTTCTTGTTCTACTTATTCAAACTCCTGGCAACCACTGATATTTTTTTTTGTCTCCCTCGTTTTTCTTTCCTAGAATGTCAAATGTTCATATACTCTGTAGCCTTCTCAGATTGGCTTCTTCCACTTAGTAATAGGCACTTAAGATTCATCCATGTGTTTTCATAGCCTGACAATTTATTTCTTATTAATGCTGAATTATAGTCTATTATCTGGATATATCACAGACTGCTTTCCATTGACCTGCTGAAGGACGTCTTGGTTGTATCCTAAGTTTTGCCAATTATGAATAAAGTTGTTCTAAACTTCTACGTGCACGCTTTTGGGTGGACTACATTTTCAGCTCCTTTGTGTGATATACTATATTCATAGTTCCAAATTCTGCAAAATAGATGATATTTCTGTTCTGTACATTTTAAAATAAAGTTAAATGACTAGAAGTTGAGCTCCAGCACCCTGGTGGCATCCGTACCACTCTGCCTCAGTGCCTAACATAATGATAAGTACTAACACATTAATAAAAATGAATAGATATTTGATAAAAGGAGCACAAGTCTGATTCCATAGGCCATTATTTTCTTTCCATATTATACAGTGTGTTAATTGATGTTTTCATTTATTTTCGATAAAAACGCTTTTTTAAAATGCCACATGCTAGTTAGATTTTAAAAGACTTAAAAATCCATTGACAATTTTACATGATGATGTAGAAAGGTTTTTGAATGGATGTAAGAGTGGTCCGGTGGAGCTCTGTGACTTCTGAAAGGAAGCTGTTAGAGGAAGGAAGAACTTGAGCCTAAAACCCTAGGCTGAGACTTGTGCTCACCTCTTGGGAGTACAGAAATTTCGAGCAAATTTTGCATCCCTGTGGGCCTCACTTTCTTCATCAGAAAAATAAAATTGGAGATACCAAAGGCACAGGGTCATTGTGAGATATAAATGAAGCAAGATATGTACTCAGCTCTGGTCTCTCTCATGAACAACTCTCTACTCAGAAGCATTTAAGTATATGGACTGTTCATGAAAGGTCCCTGTTGGGGTTTAGATATGGGAGTCCCCCCAAAGCTCCTGTGTTGTTGCAGGAATATTCAGAGGTGAAATTATGAGAGCTGGAACCTACCAGGACTACCGTACTGGGTGGTAGCTGCTGGCAGGTGGGACATGGCTGGAGGTGGGTCACTGGAGGTGTGTGCCCTTGAGTGATTCTATCCCTCCCCCTCCCCGCGCTTCTCCTCCCTCTGCTTTCTGGCTACCATGAGGAGAGAACTTTCCTTTACCAGACCCTTCTGCCTCACTTCAGATCCTGGGTAATGGAGGAGTCAGCTGACAATGGACTGAACCTCTGGGACAGTGAGTCAAAAGAACCATTTCTGCTAGGCATGGTATTGCACATCTAATCCCAGCAACTTGGGAGGCAGAGGCAGAAGGATTGCATTTGAGGACAGCCAGCAATTTAATGAGGTCCTAAAGACAAGACCCTGTGTTCAATCCCCAGTTTTTCCCCTCCCCCAATACAAAGAAGAAAGAAGAATACCTTTTCCTGCTCTAAGTTATTCTTATCAGTTATTTTAGTTGCAGATATGAAAAGCTGAGTAACAGCCCCCAAATGCTGGCCAGTTACTTAAGACTATATAGGGCAAGGGGATAAACTCTGTTGGACTTGACCATTTGACATGTCAATTACTTCTAAAACAATTTTTCAGGAGTCATTTTGACTATATTACATATTCTATTGTACTTTGATTTATGTATTCCTGAAAACCTCTGCTTTTTGTAAAATTGTGTGCTCGAAGTTAACAGAAGTTAAAAAGATAAGTTAGGGACAGATTAATCAAAACCTTTATAATTTTGAAGCCAGAGTCCTAATAAACCTGGTAGTAACCACTACTATAATAGCCCAAATTTTTAAAGTTACATTCCTAATGGAACCAACATTTGACCCAGTTATCCTACTCTTCAATATATTCCCAAAGGACTTAAAATACTTTAAAAAATACTATAGTGACGCTGCCACATCAATATTTATAGCAGCTCAATTCACAATAGCTAAGCTATGGAACCAACCAATGTGCCTTTCAACAGATGAATGGATAAAGAAAATGTATATATACACAATGGAATATTACTCAGCCATAAAAAAGAATGGAATTATGGCATTTGCCAATAAATGGGTGGAACTGGAGACTATCAAGCTAAGTGAAATAAGCCAATCCCAATAAACCAAAGCCTGAATGTTCTCTCTGATATG